ATGTGCCTATTTGCTGAGCCCCTTTACTTAGCTGTACAACCTTCTCGTCAAGAGAATTTGCAGAAGACCCAGGGCGGTTTCTTACTCTCTGTCGAATAAGAGTACTTTGAGCCTCAACCTCGCGCGCGTTGCGTGGTGTCTGCGCCTGCCAGGCGGCTGTCCGTCGTGGTGATTGTACTGGCGTCTGCACCACTACATCAAGCTTAGATAGCACAGCCTGTGGGTCATGTGGGACTAGACCAGCGCCTCTAAAGCCAGCTTGGATATTCTCCTTTGTAATAGACTGCTCAAAAGCAGCCTTAAAGGCTGGTAGGAAGGTCTCCTTGCTGATATAGTGGGTGCGGTTGCGTGCCAAGCCTGAAACAGCGTCGCCATACTTGCGCTTCAATGGCGAGAAGCAGGCGACGTCAAGGGGCTGCAACAGGTGAGACGAGTGTGGAGGTATGCAGAGAAGAATAATATTCTTCTCCTTGCAAAGATCTTGAAATTCGATGGAGCAGTGGCTCTCATGGCCGTCAATAATAAGTAGTCGATACCCACCCACAGTAGAGCTCTTTGTATGGGTATTAAAGTGCTCTAACCAGGCAAGACCAAGCTAATTATTCGTCCAGCTATTGGGACTGACTTTAAGAACCTAGTCGGCAGGCAAATTCTCAAACTAGACGTTGATAAGCACCTTGCCCGCAAAGACAACGAACGGTGGTATCTGGCGACCCAACGCGCCCACGCCTTGGATCACAGTAACCCACTCACGGTTGCCTGGCTGTATCCGCTTCTTTTTCCCATATCCTTCTGATGCTGTGATTAATAACTGTGATAAAATCTTGCCTATTATAAAGCTAGTTTCGTCAAAGTTGTAGATATCGTCGTCCACAATACCCCACTTCTGCCTTGTCGCCTGGACTAAGTCAAACCAGCGCTGGATAGCCACTGGGTCCTCGCAGGCGGCTCGCTGGTGATCATAGGGACGGCTCCAGCGCGTACGGAGCTCAGCAGTCCGCCTAACAAAGTTGTCAACCCAATTCTTGCCAACAGGGTTGCCACCACACTCCTCTAACAGTTTATTGGCCATTGCTCGAACCTCAGCCTTTGTAGGGGCAAATCCACGCGCAGACTCTTCAAAAATACGTCTAATAATAGCCTCCTCTTCTAACTTATTTAGGCGCTTTGAATTCAGTTCACAGTCGCGTCGGGGGCGCTTTCCAGCCTGTTAATCAGATATTGTACTTTGAGGCACGTTATAGATAGAGGCAGCGCGTCTTTAGCTTTAAACACGTTGTAATTGGATATTAAAAAGAGCAAGTTAAAGATCTAATTCAGGATAAGTTAATTGATAGTTGTGTTGTTGAGACATAACGCGTTGTAGTATCAACGTTGACGCGCTGGTGGGGAGTGACCGACTCGCTTGGGTGACCGACTCGCTTATGAACCACGTTAAATGTATAAAATGTATGAAATGTATGAAATGTATAAAATGTAAGACCATCTAATTTAGCAGCGATGAGAAACTATCATAGACATATTGTCGATAGATAGTTGATAAAAAAAAAGAGTCCAGTCGACGAAAAACATGTCCATCGATATGTTAGAAGCAGGAAAAAGAAGAGCTAATCCGTCAGTCAGTCAGTCAGTCAGTCAGTCAGTCAGTCCGACAAACAATAAAAGAAAAGGGTATTTGTATTCTTCAAGTCACACCAGCGTAGCCATAGCCATAGCAGAACATGGGGCCCATTCGGCAGCGGATGCTAAAGAAGTCGAGTCTTTGGAAAACAAAGCAAAGCAAAGTAAAGGACGAGAAAAGAAGAGAAGAGAAAAACAGCAAGCAAGTAAAGAAAAGCAGATGGAATGTTTGCCTCTCAGAAAAAAAAGGGGGAGAAGAGAGGCAAATTGAAGATAGAGACAGTGAGAGAAGATGAAAAAAAGAAGAGAAAGAATGAACGGGTTTATATCGAACACGAAGTTAGAACTGTGTTTTGTTGTGCTTTGCGTTGATGATGGTGCCCTTTTTGTTTTGCTTTTGTCCAGTAATTGGACTCGTCCTCGTTCAAGTTCGTGGGTGTTAAAAAAATGGGTAGTTGGGTTTTTGCCGTAAATGTCGTTGCGTGTTTTTTTTGGTTGGGGAAGGTTGCGTATAAGGTTTGTTTGTTGTCGGTGCGCGCGGTGTAAAATAAGCCCTTGTTTTTCTGCGGTTTCCCTGCATGCGCTGCATGTGTGGGGTTTTTTTGTGGAGGACCCTTTCAGGACGCCAATTTGAGTTGTGTCTGTATGTGGAGGTTACACAGCATCTTTCGTTCAGACACTACACAGTAGTGCTAGAGTTGATGGAATGCAGACAATGTTGTGATAGCATGGCATCGGTGGATTCATGGCCATGGAGAAGCGCACTGCGCAGGGCAATGGGACTAGTCGCCTATGACCGTGCAGTACCCATGCGACTGAGCTCCCTTATCCGTATCGAGGGCATGACACTGAAGCGCTTGCTGTTGGTGGTGCTCGAAGACTTTGCCGAAGCGGGAGACGAGGCGTAGACGTACTCGCCGTCCACATACTGGGCCTCGCTGATAAAGGTTGTGCGCTTGTCACGGCGTGTGTAGCGCTGCTCAAGCCGGTGCAATTCAAGACCTAGAGGCAGAAAAGGGGAGTCAACAGGATGCTCACGAGACACATGGACAGTAAGTATGGGGAGCAGGCCGGGCGAGGCGGGCGCCGAGACGGGACATACGGGCTTGGAGCTTTTCGATGAGACCCATTGTTGGTTTTGTGAAGATGGTCGTGGCTGGGTTGGATGCGGGCCGAGTTGTGTGGTGTGCTGAGTCGAAGATGGTCAGCAGGGCGATGTGCGGTAGATGTGGAACGGATTTGGTGTAGGCGTGGCGGGTGGCAGGCTGGTCCCTGGGGCGGATGACGCAGACGGTGTATCAGGCTGGGCTGGGAGGCGACGAGGCAGGGCGAGGGCGGCGATGTATAGCAGCAGACGCCAAGGGGCGGGCGGGCGATATGGTTTAAAGAAGGGAAATGGCTGGGGTGATGGTGTGGACAGGGCCGTTGTTGGGGCGCGGGAGAAGGGAAGCGTGTGCCTGGGCGTTCCAGATTTCATGCAGTGCCAGTTCTCGAAGCATGAATACGGGCTAGTCAAGCCGAAAGCCGCAGACGAACCAAGCCCAGACAAGACAATGGCCCGGCACTGGGGCGTGGCGAGTCGTGAGCGCAGGTGCGTGTGTGTGTCTTGTGTTGTGTTGTGTTGTGTTGTGTAGTCTTGTCTTGTGCTGTGTAGTCTTGTGCTGTGCCTGTGCGCGTCAGGCATCTGCGACGGCCTGGCGTGCTTGTCGAGGGACGTGGCACAGCATCCGAGACGCGCTGCGAACAGCTGTTGTTGCGCAATGCCGCGCCGCCAGCACACGCACCAGCAGCAAGTAAGCGGATCGTCGCCGGCAGCTTGCCCGGAGTGTTTTGTCGCTGCCGAGCCCCGAGTCAGCGCGCGTCGAGCCTTGGGGTGGGCGTCGGCGTGGCTGTCGACGCCGTCACGTGGACGGGGCCAGTCCAGTCGCCCCAACCGTGTCCGCGCCACCGCCGTCTTGGCTGCACGCCCGCCATGCTGATACCGATACTGCTATACTCCCACCACGCTGCGAATACCAACAACACCCGGCTTCGTCACGCGCACCGCACACGGCCTCGTCGCTGCTGCTGCTGCTGCTGCTGCTGTGCTTCATTTCGTCATGGCCGCCATGGCTAAACCCGCCACGCATTCGGCTCCCTCTACCTAGCTCTCTCTCTCTCTCTCTCTCTCTCTCTCTCCCCCCCCACTCTGCCTGCCCACGCTCCGTGCTTGCCCACAAAATGCAACCCGCCAACCACCCCCTTTATGCTAATGCTCCTCTATGGCACCACGCGCGACTCCGGCACCGCTCCATCCACAATGGCAATCGCCCCAACATTGCCTGCGTCTGCCGACCCGTTGAGCAGCGAGATGACCGAAATCACGTCAGACGGCTCCACCAGATGCCAGCTCGCCAGCGTCTGCTTCGAACTCGCCCCCACCGTCACCGAAAACACGTGGTCCGTCGGCAGCTTCGACTGCCGCAGCGACCGGAACATGTCTGCAACCACCGTCAGTCACCCACCATCAAAACAACCACGGCGCAAAAACAAACCTTCGTCTGTGAAATCGTCGCCCATGCACAGCACAAACTCGGGCGCATTGCCAGGCCCCTCGCCATACTCCTCCACCAGCCGCTTGGCAATCTCGCCCTTGTTGACAAACCGAGGGCGCACCTCGAGGTTGGCCTTGCCCGTCATCACCTCGACGTCATACTTCTTGCCCACCGTCCTCTCCAGATGCTTTTGGCATTCGCGCGCCTGGAACGCTCCGTACTCGGGGTCGGCCCGGCGGTAGTGCCAAGTGAGGGCAATCTTTTTGCGCTCAATAAACGACCCTACACCGCCTGTTAGACAAACAATGATGCCGCCATATACCTCAACCCATGCTTACCCTGCGTTCTCTCCGTGTAGTGCTGGAAAATGTCCACCACTTCGCCTTGCCAGCTCATGTCCGTCGTCTCGGCCAGATTCTCCCAGTCCTGGCTGCGTGGAGGCCGCATGAAGCTGCCGTGCTCAGCACTCAGCCCAAGCTCGGGAATGTGGCCCATCCACTCGTCCAAGAAGGCCTGGTCGCGCCCGCTGATGATCCACACAGCATTCGTAGGCTCTGCGGATAGGCTCTTCAGCGTCCGGATGACCCGGTCAGAGGGAATCGCTGCTTGCGGGTCCTTGACAATGGGCGTCAGCGTCCCGTCGTAGTCGAACATGAATAGTCGCTTCTTGGCCTGTCGGTACTGGAACAGGAGCTTAGCCCGGTCCAGTGCCGGCGTGGCAAACGTCTGGTCAAACGACGACAGGTTCGTCATCAACCTCTTGAGGTAGTTGTTGGTCCACGCCTGCACATTGTTCTCTACCACGTGCCTGTACAGCTCTTGATGGATCCGTGCGCGTTCCGCTTCGTCTTGCTTGAGTGCTTTGTTGATGACTTCGGCTACTCCGCCCATGTCCCACGGGTTGATGTGGCTGGCGCTGCCGAGCGAGCTCGACGTACCAGAGAACTCGGACAGAATCAGCGGCCCGTGATTGTCCTTTTGGCACACAATGTATTCCATGCTCGTCGTATTCATACCGTCACGCACGCTAGTAATCAGCCCAATGTCGGCAATCCGCAGGAGAGCAAAGTATTCCTCGCGCGAGAGATACTGCGGAAAGTGGCGCACAGGTGTGAAGTCGAGCGTTCCATACGTGCCGTTGATCTTGGCAGCCAGGTCCGAAATCTTGTTGACCACCTTTTCTTGCGCCCCGTCGCTCCTGTCCGTGTGGAGGCCACTGGGACTGGTCACCTGGATGAGAACAACCTTGCCCTGCCACTCTGGGTACCTCTCCAGGAACAACTGGAACGCCTGCAGCTTCTGCACGACTCCGCGAACCGCATCGAGCCTATCGCGGCCAACAATGAGCTTCTTGCCCGCGTACATTTCCCGGATCCCCTTGACCTTTTCGTCAATCTCCGGGTCGTCAAACGCCTGTCGTTGTGTCGAGACGGCGTTGATGCCAATGGGAAACACATCGACAGCTACGTGAGCACCGTAGGCATCAACGCCCTCGGACGACGAGTCAAATCCTAGAATCCTAGTGCAGCAGGAAGAGAAATGCCGTGCGTAGCTGTACGACTGGAACCCAATCATGTTGGCGCCCAGCACGCCCTCGAGAATCTCCTTGCGTCTGCTGAGGCACCGGTAGAACTCGCTGCTGGGAAAGGGAATGTGGAGGAAGAAGCCAATGTAGATGTTTGGCACGCGTTGGCGGAGCAAGCTGGGCAGCAGCATGAGATAGAAATCGTGCACCATGACAATGTCGCCAGGCTTGTAGATTTCGAGGATCCGGTCTGCAAACAGCTTGTTCATGCGGTAGTAGTCCGCCCATGATTTCCGCGCAGCACGTCCGTCGGCGGGCTCATTCTGCTTGTAGTGGAACAGCGTGTAGAGCTCGTGCTCGGCGTACGTTCTCCAGTGGCTTTGGTTCTTGAGCACGTATTCGTCTTTGCCGTCGTCCACTTCGTCCACCAGCCACACTGGCACAATCTTGCCGCCATGGTCACGCTCGAGCTGCTTGTCCAGCCGCGCGCGGTCCGAGCCGCCGATTCGAAAGCCGTTTTGGACCTGAGCCACCTGGTTTGGATTCTTAGGGTCAACGGGAATGGGCGCGGCGGCCTTGTTCAACGACACTTGGGCCGTCTGGACCGCGGCCGACTGTGCGTGCGTGATTTCTCCCGTCCAGCCCACCAGTGTGTGGTTCCAGGGCGACGAGCTCGAAGCCAGGTACGAGAGCGAGTCGAAAAGGGCAGAGGTTCCTCGTCGCGGGCTCAGCTCCCAGTCGTTGCCTGGCGAGTAGCCGATGGTGTATGGTATGGCAAACGTCGCACTGATAACGCGGCCGCTGAGGTTGAGCCCGGGATGCGCAGCACGCGGGTCCACGTCTGCCAGATTGTGCTTGGAGTCTGCACCGGGAGCGTCGCTCAGCTTGCCCTTGGCTTCCTCCCCAGTGTGCGCACCGGCGGCCTTTTCTGCACGCGGGCCCGCGTCGTCGGCCCTCTGCTGGTTGGCGAAATATGAGTTGGCGCTCCACGAGGGGCCCGGCGTGGCCGTCTCGGGGTCGAAGGGGAGCTCCGTCTTCTCCTGCTTGGCCGACTCGTCAAAGTAGGCCGTCTTGCCAGACTGGTGCACGCCGGGCGTCACGGGCACGCTGGTGACATCGGGGTGGAGGGCGGGGTGAGCGCTGGGCTGGGACGCGATTGGAGGCCTCTCGGGCTTGTCATGCGTCGGGGGGCTCATGGTGCTTGGAGGCTCGGGACCTGTTGCGCTACATGCAAGAGTCAGATAGGGATAGGCCAACGGGGGTGGGGAGGGGGGGGGGGGCTCGAGAGGGTGCGGTTGAGGTAATGGTTGCGTAGGCGTGATTGGCAAACAGTGGAGCACGGTCGCGAGGCACACGGGCACGAGGCAGGCTACACAGTGCACACAGGCTCTCGCGCTGCGCCTCGATGCGGCCGTGGTGCGGCATTTGCCCTCGACCGAGGGAGGGGAGCTCTTGAGGCGGTACGTACCAGAGGCCTTTGCCAACGTCACAGCCAGTGCTAGTGGGGCATCGAAGCATCCCACCGCGACCAGCTTTTCTCCCCCCATTGCCCTCGCCGGGCCTCTGTGAGCTTCTCTCCGCATCTGCCACCCGTGTCTGCTCTCTCCTCTGCCTCGCGCCCTTTGTCTGTGTTGCCCTGCAAACCCCTCCCCGCCCCCGTGCGAGAGAGAGCCCCGTAGCCGACCGAGCTGCTCGGGCCTTACTATCTTTCGACGACAAGGGTACCAAGTGGCTGACTGCTGCATTCCCATCTTCCTCGTGCTTCCACGCATCGACTACGCCTGCACCTTCACGCTGGCCCTCGCTGGCCCGCCCTGACCGCCCAGCGCCGTGTTGCTGGCCCGGTCAACATGATGTCAGGCCATGTTCACACTGGAGCAGCGGGTGGGCCGGGCCTGGTGGAGCGACGGGGGGAGGGGAGGGAGAGAGAGGGGGGGGGGCAGCAGGCGAGGGGCAGACCGAAGACGCTGGGAGGGGCCGTGGATGCGATTGTAGGCACTTTGCCATAGCAGATAGCAGACACATGGTGGCGCCGACCGAGGCATGCCCAACACTGGGGCCGGCATTGGGCCATTGTCTGTATCAGTATCAGTATCCGTACACCTAGCGGTACACCTGGTATCCACCACGGAATGACTTGCAGCCCAGAGCCCAGAGCCCAGAGCCAGCGCGCCCGCGGGAGTGCCTGTCCGCCGCCCTCGCCCCAAAGCAGCCTAGCCGCTTGGCACCGTGGCCGCCCACATGCACACACACTACATGCATCTATGCACCACGCTCACCGTCCTGCCCGCTGGCTCTTCCCGCACGCCTCCTCATGCACTCCCTGCGCGCCCGCCCGCTATGCCGTGCCCATAACCGCTTCAACCCGTCAATTGCCCTGTGGGAGCATTTCATCCGTCCCCACTCGCCAAACTTTCACCACCACCGCTTGTCCTCGACGGCCGCCCACCCCGCCCAGCATGACTTGGATACAGGCGGCGCGACTGCTGCTGAGGTAGCCGCAACAGCCCCAGAGGCCAATGGCCCACCGCAGTCGCAGGCGCAGGCTGGAGGGCTGGCAGAAGGCCCAGCCACAGAGCTGGGGCCCAAACTCAGAAAGATGACAACAGTCAAAGGCAACTTCGTCGCTGAAAAAAAGGACGCGACGATTGCGCGAAACAAAAAGATCAAGAAGGCCCGCATTGAAGCCATGCGCATTGCGTCCGATGAACTCCTGGCCAAGGCGAGAGCCGCTTTTGAAAACTCGCAGGAGTACGAGGGCGTGGTTGTGGAGCCCATGCTCAGCTATGAATCTTGCGATGCGGCCTCGCTGCCGTGGTGCCTGAAAGAGCAAGCAAGGGAGGTGCCGCCCATGGATGTGTTCGTGCAAGCCTCTATACGTGGTACCTAGAATGGGGGGCTCACTGACGCGAATTCGCCAGGCTCAACGAGGAAATCGACAGATTCTACGCTTACGCCAAACCCAACGAGTTCGAACAGACGGCCAGACAGCACGTCATCCAGCAGGTGCGGGCGCTTGTGCGCAAAGCCCTTAAAAAGTGCGACGTCGAAGTCTTTGGCTCGGAACGCAATGGCATCCCCTTTGCCACATCCGACATTGACCTTCGTCTGCTATGGCCGTCGCAGGTATCCCGCCCCTCCATGGCCAGACTGCCGCCGACTAAGAGGGAGCGTGGCAAAGGGATGGCCCAGCTTGGATGGTTGTATAACGGCTCGCTCAAGCACAACCGTGATTACCTCCTAACCTCGCTGCGTCACGCCCGCTACCCCCTCGTCGCCGCGCAAGACCGACAGTCCGGGCTCGATGTGCAAATCGTCCTGTCCAACGACACATCGGTATCGCGGGACTACATGCAGCGGTACATGCAAGAGATTCCCTACCTGCGCAGTCTGTACTACGTCGTCAAGACCATTTTCGACATCCGCGGCCTGTCGGACGTGTTCCGCGGCGGCTTTGGCTCCTACTCCATCTTCATGATGCTCGTGGCAAGCCTCAAGCATGCGCCGCACCAGCGACAGGATGCCGCGGGGGGTCTGCTCAACTTCCTCAAGTTCTACAGCGACTTCGACGCGAAGGCACACGGCATTTCGATTGAGCCCGTCGAGCTCTTCGACAAGGTGCAGCACCCGGTCATCACCAATCCGGTCAAAATCAGTTTCAAGGTAAGGACGCCAAGCGTTGCTGCATTTGCATCGTCCCAGCTGGGCGCGTGTGTTGACACAATGAGTAGAACGGAACGGCCAAGCCCCTCCCCAGCTACATGCTCTGCCTTCGCGATCCGGCCGACGAAACGAATGACCTTGGCCGCAAAGGCATAGCCATCAAGCACGTGCAGACGACGTTCAATGCGCTGTACACGCAGCTGGTCATGGACCTGAAAACGAATACACGGGCGTCGCTGCTCGCGTCGCTGGTTGGCCCTGTTTACATGCTCAACATTGAGCGCCGCAAAAAGCTCCAAGACTATGGCTGGCGCCTGCAGAATAGCAAACACGCATCTCTTGCCGCCACGGCAAAAGCAATCCGAGAAGAAGAGAAAAGGAGCAAACGCGGCAAAAAGAAGCGGTAGGCTTCCGTAGCCCACCCACTCGTCCATGTTCCCAAGAGCATACCAAAAAATGTAACACTACTCACCTTGTACACCTCATGCATAACCCATGCCCATGATTCAAGCTGTTGCTGTCAAAAAAAAGTCTTGTGCACCGTCAGCATGACTCATGACTTGTCTGTGGATTCAAACATGGACACGTATAGCATCAAGAAAAATGAGCCTGTTCTGCCAAGTGTGATGATAGCAAGTACTATGAAACCCATCCAGCATGCATGTCGTAGAACAGAAAACTCCCGTCAACCATCATGCCATGAAAGGTATGTGTTCTTGATGACTATCCTCCTCCCTTGCGCTCGTTGTATCCCATAGCAGATCCGGTCAAAAATATGCTCCACCACTTCCGCTGACTCCTCTCGTGCTTAGATGGCGTACTTCCTGGTCCACTCGCGTGCCGTCGATTCGTAACGGGACCGGTCCGTCTTGTACACATGTGCAATCTCGGGGACAAGCGGGTCGTCGGGGTTGGGGTCTGTCAACATCGAGCAGATACTCAGCAGCACTAGAGAGAAGGGAGAAAAAACTGTCAGCCATGTCCACACACGCAGTCGGCGTCTTCCCGAGAGAGCGTACCCTTTGAGATGGTTAGAGCAGGGCTCCACTGGTCTCGCAGAATGTCCAAGCAGATGCTGCCGTTGGAGTTGATGTTGGGGTGGTAGATGCGGGTGGTGAAGTTGACCTTTGGGGGCTTGAAGGGGTAGTCGGTCGGGAAGTGGATCGCGAGGAAGAAGACACCGCCGGAATATGGTGAGTCGCCCTGGGCTGGTTAGTCGCTGCTGGTGTCATGGCCACGGGTGGACATACAGGACCCATGATGGTTGCTTGCCAGTGGAACTAGACCGCAAAGTCAGTATACTCGTCTTGAACGCGGCTGGTCTCGCCCACGGCTGTGTCGACAAGAGCGCCTCAGCCGCACGCGTTCCGTAGCAAAGAATGACGTACCAGATCATCTCCGATGGGGCCAGCTGAACAAGAAGAGGGAGGGTCACTGCGGGTGCCAGGTCAGCCAGATGTCTCTGCGTGCTCGGGCAGCGAGGCCACGGTGTTGAGTATTCGCTTTGCTGGGGCGGCCGTGGCTGGCATGCTCAGAGCAGTGCTGGCCGTGGGTGGGC